ACAGCACTATTTCTTTTTAATTTAAAGAAAAAATATATAAAAACTCAAATAATAACATTAACAAACTAATATATTTTAGAGTTTTGGCTTACCTCCACTTATACCAAAACCTGTTGTGAATGGTCAATTCAATATTCACGATGACAATTATGGTATACCTAATCCGATGATTTCAGGGTATGAATAAATTATTAGATAATTTTTTCAAGAATGAAAAATTCTCAATTATTAATATTAAATATATTATTTAATTATTATATTGTTAGATTATCGGCATCTAGACAGCATATAGGTTATGCACATCCACTAGAAATATCCGAGAGAAATGTAAGAAAATAAATATGTTGAAAATTATTTTTGTTATTTATATTATATATATTATGTTTATTTTTCAGTATGAAAAAAATCGTACTCATATAAATATGGTATTATTAAGAAATTCACAAGGATTACATGCCCCAATGCGTTTAGCAATGGAATTGAAAGCAACTGAAAAAATTGGGCGATTGCCATTTCTTCCATCATCAAATATGATGAAAGATGTATTACTTGGAAAAGATGAAGAAATAGGGTAAATTAATTAAAGAATTTTTTGTTATTATTTAAATTGGATAATGTATATTTATATATTATAATAGATATATTACATAATATATATTTTGTTTTAGTTTATAATTTCTAACATTAATGAAATAAATTCATTGAATTAATGAATGAATATTAAAATTTTAACAACTTTTTCTTTAGGTTTGAAGACATACTAAATATATCTGAATTTAGAGAACAAATGGGTCAACCACATGCTGTTATTGAAAAAAGTCTTGGAATATTATAAATGCTTATTTCTATTTATGATATATAAATCATTACTTTGTATTATTGAATAAATTTAAGTAACAATAAATATTTAATTCTTATAATTAAATAATTTAGTTTTTATTAAATTTATTTAATTTATTTAAAAAATTACATATTTGATATGATGATATTTATATATCTGATCATACAAAATGATTTATTCTACTATTATATATTTTCTTAATTTCTTGAATTGCAACATGTAATTCATTATTCTTTGTATTTTGTAAACGCATTTCTACAACATTTCCAAAAAGTCATTCAAATTGTTCAGAAGTTAAAGCATTTACTTCTGAAACATTTAAAATCCCCCTTAAATTTAATATAAAAAATGATATATAATTTCAACATATGATTATTTTTTTGATAATTTTATAAAAATTAATTGTTATATTTCATCATTCATGTATATATAACATATGTAAACTTTATAATACTCTATGTAACGTGTATAAACTTTATAAAACTCTATATAAACATATATATATAATATATTAACGTTTAAAATATTACATAATTAAAAAGTAAATATATAATTAAAATTATAATATATATTATAATATATATTATGTGTAAAATAAATTTAATAAAAAGATTAATAATAAATACTTATCACTTGCGTGAATATATTATTTCTTCTTTAAATTTAAATTTTTTTAATTTTATTAGAGAGGAGAATGTACAAAGTTCACAAGATTATCAACAATCAATTTTATAAATTTAAAATATACTATTCTTTAAAAAATACAATTTATTACAAATATTACAATGTATTATTTTACAATTATATCAATGTATATAATTGTATAAGTATTTATATTTGATATATATATATATATGTAAATAAATATAATCGTGACTATAAATATAAATAATTTTTTATTTAAAATATAAAGTGATTTTCGATGTCATCAAATTATTAACTTAATTATTAACTTAATTATTAATTTAATTATATCTCATTGAAATTCACGTTAAAATAAAATTATATATTATACAATAAATTAAATAATATTTAAAATTATTAATATAAATATTTCGATCTTATATATATACATATATATATATACTTCGGTACATATTTTTAATATTTATATTATATGCTTATATATTTATTTATAATGTTAATTTGCTGCTATATTATTAAATAACAAACATTTATCTAAATACATACATATATATAGATTAAAATTTATTCAATACAATACACTTTCAAAAGTTTATCATATTAATAAATTAAATTTATTTGTTGTTATACTATTGTTGTTAGTTAAAAATTATATAGTATTTAAAATATAAAAATCTAGAATTTTATATGAAAAAATTTTATATAAAAATTTATTTTAATTAAGATAATATATGTTATGTACTAAATACAATGATTTAAAATGTTAAACAAATAAAATTTAAATCATATTATAAATTTGTTATAAAATGAAAATTAAAAAAATTACTTAAAATTGAAAATTATAAGAAATTAGGTAATAAGTTATTCAAATATAATATAAATAAATAATTATTTTAATTATATACAAATTATATATAAATAATTATATTAAATTTTTAATAGAAGCTATTGAATTTTTGAATTCATTCAACTTTAATACTTTGAGCATTCACTTTCATATTTTGTTAATATTTAAATAGTAACAAAGAAGAAAAGGATAAACTGAAAATGAATAAAAAAAAAAAAGAAATTAAAAGAAAAAAAAGTGAATAATAGAAATATAGATTTATTTTACTATTATTATTAATTTAAAATCAACCATGTATTTAATTTAAATATCTAAATATCTAATTATATCTAAATATTTTGTATTTTATTTTTTATTTTTATTTTATTTTTTGTATTTTATATAAAATAACATAAATATGATGAATATTTTTGTAAAAAAAGTCAAAATTATATAAATTATATATTTTTTTAAATTAATTATGTTTAATAAAAAAATCTCGAATTGCAATAAATTAAATTACGTTATTGACAAAGCGGTTATCTGTCTGTAGAATGGAAATAGCGAATTGGTTATAAAAAATGATTGATAAAAGATAAGAGAATTAAACCGTCAGTATAACTATGAATTCGATCGTGAAATGTTTTTAATTTATTAAATATTATTAATATTATTTAATAAATATAGATTTTGTTGAAATAATTATTAAAATATATTATAAAAATATAATACTTGCTTTGTAATTTTTTAATAAAGAAACCGGATAACCTTTATTTCGTTTCATGTAATAAAAAAAAAAAATGAATGTTAAGATTTTAGATGGTGGATTTGGTGCTCAATTATCTACTCATGTTAATGAAAAAGTCGATGGTGATCCATTATGGACATCAAAATTTTTAGTAACAAATCCTAATGCAGTATATGCTACACATTTGGATTTTTTAAAAGCAGGTGCAGATATTATTGAAACAAATACATATCAAGCTTCAATTCCTAGCTTAATGAAACATTTGTCTATAAGCGAAGAAGAAAGTATAAAATTGTTACATAAAGCTGTTCATCTTGCTAAAACTGCAGTGAATGATTACACTAAAGAAATTATAAATAATAATGATATTGAGAATAAAAATCCTATGATTGTTGCTTCTTGTGGACCATATGGGGCTAGTTTACATGATGGTTCAGAATATAATGGAGCTTATGGCAAAATAACACCTCGTGAAAACATAATTCAATGGCATAAATCACGTATAGATGCTATTATAAATGCTGGTATAGATTTATTTGCATTAGAAACTATACCTTGCTATCAGGAAGCAGAAGCAATAATTGAACTTCTAAGAGAATATCCAAATATTAAAGCATGGCTTTCATTTTCTTGTGAAAGAAATACACAAAAAATAGTAGATGGAAGCAATTTTCAAGAACTTTCTACACGTTGTTATAAAACATTACCAGGACAAATAGTTGCCATTGGTGTAAATTGTATTGCTCCAAAAGATGTAACTCCTTTATTGAAAAATATTAATATGGGATCAGGAAATGATTTTATACCACTTATAGCATATCCTAATAGTGGCGAAATTTACTCACCAAATGAAGGATGGATAAAAAATGAAAGTTGTGCTCCACTTGAAAGTTTCATTCCTGAATGGTTAGAATTTGGAATACAATATCTTGGAGGATGTTGCAGAATGTATGCAGAGAATATAAAATCAATTAGGAAAGCAGTAAATAATTTCAAGAAATCAAAAGAGTAATAATGAATTAATTTTTTTTTAAATAAAAATTTAATTACTTTTGCTTTTTAAAATTTTTATTTTTAATTTTATTTTTAATTTTATATATGTTTTATATATTTTTTAACATCTTTATAAATTAAATGCATATATATATATATATATAAAAATTAATAAACTATAATAATTATTATTATTATTTTATTTATTTACAAGAAATAAAATATATTCAATTAATATTTATTCGAAAAAAAATATTTAAATTTTATAGATATTCTAATTACACATATCTTGTTATGCCTTCTTTTGTTATGAAACAAATTATTTATTAGTTCAATTCATTTGATACTGCATTTCAATGATAAAAAAAATCTAAATTTATCGCTATAAAAAGCGTTTATAACTTCAGTCTTCAAATTTGTATAAGAAAAGACATCAATTACAATAACATTGATTAATGCTTATCAGACCAAACAAGATAATGTTACATTTAAAAATGTTGTATATACATGTAATATATATATCACAAATACGTGATTTATCATAATACGTACAATACACGTGACTAAATCTGATCTTCCTAGTATAAAAGCTCTTCACGACGTAAGAACTGTTAGCATAATTACATTTGAAATTTTGTTCACGTTTTTATAATATTTATCTCACAGATTCATAATGGACTTTGGAATAGATATATTTTGTGAAGTCAATTATAGAAATTGTTGCCTCAGACGTTGTAAACATATTTAAGCGGCCAAGACGTGCGCGAAATTATAAATAAAAATTTGGTTTTTCCAATGTGAAAGACGCACCATTATTAAAAAAAATTATTTACAATTTAAAATGATTAAAAAACAAAAATAATTATATATTTTTATATATATGTGTGTGTACCGATATTTTTGATATTAAAAATATTTAATAATTACGATAATTTTAATAGAAAATCATGCAAGAAGTGAGGGTATTAGATGGTGGATTTTCTACACAATTAGCAACTCATGTTGATGATACAATAGATGGTGATCCATTATGGACAGCACGTTTCCTTGTTACAAATCCTAATGCAATTATTTCTACACATTTGGATTTTTTGAAAGCTGGAGCAGATATAATTTTAACAAACACTTATCAAGCATCTATTGATGGCTTCTCAAAATATATGAATATTACAGAACAAGAAAGTCTTGATATCTTTTCTAAAGCTGTAGATTATGCTAAAGAAGCTGTGAATTTGTATAAAAAAGACATAGAAAATAAAGGAAATATAATAAATGCAAATCCATTGATTGCTGGATCAATTGGACCATATGGAGCTTGTTTACATGATGCTTCAGAATATAGTGGCAAATACTGTTCAAATGTAACAGAAGAATTTCTTATAAATTGGCATAGACCACGTATTCAAAAATTAATAGATAATGGTGTTCATATATTAGCTATAGAAACAATTCCATGTAAGCAAGAAGCAGAAGCATTGATTAAATTATTAAAAGAATTTCCAAATAGTAAAGCTTGGTTATCTTTTTCATGTTGTAATGATGGAAAAAGTATAGCAGATGGAACTAATTTTCAACAAATTGCAATGCAATGTTATAAAAAAGCTTTACCAAAACAAATTTTAGCAATTGGAGTCAATTGCACTGCACCACAAAATGTAACTAAATTATTAAAAGGAATTAATGAAAATAATAAGCAAGAATTTATACCATTAGTAGTATATCCTAATAGTGGTGAAAAATATACAATAGAAAATGGTTGGACAATAAAAGATGAAGAATGTCCTTTACATGAATTTATATATGAGTGGCTTACTTTAGGTGTTCGGTATATAGGTGGATGCTGTAGAACAAATGCCACTGATATAAAGAAAATACGATCAGAGGTAGAGAAATGGAAAAGAAATTAAATGCTTAAATTGTATTATATGTTGTAAATGTGTAATATGTAAATAATCATACATGATGCAAAATAAAAATAAATCAAAAATTTAGATATTAAAATATTTTTAAACTTGATGCTAATAAAAAATATTTTCTTTTATTTCTTTTGAATTATATTTGTACATAAATATTAAAAGAAATTCATTTTATTATTAAAATATAAAATATAAATATAAATTTAAGAGGTATATTTTTTTTACATAATCCTTTTTTTAACAAATATATCAAATAAAATAATTATAAAAAATATAAAAAATAATAAAAAAAATATAAAAAATAATAAAAAAAATATAATAAATATATAATATTATGTAAAAAGAAATTATAAAAAATCTATTAAAAATTATATTTCATTATTATTAACAAATTATAATAATAAAAATCCTTAAATATTCTTTATATTTAAATCAAATAATAAATATAATTTCATAATTTTATATAAGAAAAAAAATATAAACTTTTTTATTTTTCAAATCAAATTTATTTTTGTTTCAAAATAAGTTTAAGTTTTATATCATAATATAAATTTTATTATATATATTTTGTAAATAATTTATTTACATTTCATGAATAATGAATTTTTAATTTAATTTAAACAATTTTTAATTTAAACAATAAAAAAAATACGAATTTAAATATCTTATATATTTTTTAAAAATCATATCAGAATATTTGTCACTCATCATTATAAAAAATTATATATAAATATTTTATATAAAATATTTTATATAAAATATTTTATATTAATTTTGAATATATTTAATTTTCCAGAGATTGATAAATATAAATTAATTCATTACCTACATTATATGTAATTCCTTCTACATCTACACTAATATTTTTGCTTTCCATATCAACATTAAATATAGAATTAGATGGAATTAAAGTTTTACCTTTTAATATATTTTCAGTTGTAGGTTTATTCCTAGGTCCTAGTAGAGGATCATTGTAACGATATAAGGATATTAATGATGAATCTACAAAAACAAATAATTCAATGAATAAATAATATTCAATAATTAAATAATAATATTGATTAATTGCATACTTTTTATAAGTTTATTATCTTTTGATATTCGTGATATAATATTTTCTACAGTATCTGCATTTGCTACTTTAATGGTCATTCTAAATAAACCATTATATTTTTGTGGATTTATAATGAATATTGGAATTCCAAGTTTAACAGAAAAATTCATATAAGGAGCACCTGGACAACATTCTTCTCTCGTTTTTTCTGGAGCTTCATTCGTATATTTTATCACAATATTTTCTAGCTATATAAATATGAATAAAAGATTATCAGATAAAACAAGTTTCAATAAAAAATATAAAATAGAATATATTAAATAAAATTTACATCTAAAGTATTTTCAAGATATTTTTTATTATCTTGAAGAACTTTAAATTCATCAAAATCCAAAGTTAAATTAAATGCATTTAATCCAACAAGTTGAATTTTTTCTCTTATAACTTGTACAAATGGCATTAATCGTTTCATATATTTTTTTAATTCTTGATATTTTCCCAATTCTAATGCTATAATTTTATTTTCTGGTAAATTATTGTCATTTTTCTGTATGTAATGAATAAATAAATTAATATATATATAATTTATTCGTTTATGTATATAATCAGAATCATTATAAATAAAATTATTACTTACAAGATATAAATTTTTCATCATAGTTAAAATAGTACTTTGCCAAGGAGGATATGTTTTAGCTACCCAAATTGTTCCCTCGGTAGGTTTTTCTACAGTTAATGTTTCAGTTTTTCCTTTTTGTGTTTTTTTAGGAGTTAAATAATTTTTTAACAGAATTCTAAATGAATGTGCAGCATCCATAAGATATTGTGATGATTTTATAAGTACTTCATCTATGAAGTCTATCTGAGGCCATCTAGCATTTAATATACTATCTTCCTATTGAGAAAATAATATATATATATATATATAAAAGATAGTATATTATTAGTACATTATTATTTCATTGTAATGTAATTAATTTTTTAATTTGATTAATCATTGCATAAAATTGCACATTAAATATAATATACTTACTTTACCAATTAATGTCCATATATGTTCTGTTACATGTGGACAAATTGGAGATAAAAGAATAATTTGAAATTCTATATATTTCATAATTAATATCCAATTAATACCATCTAAAGCACTCAATTGTAAATATTTATCTCTTACTGCTTGTAACTCAAAAAATCCTGTTTTTAGAGCTTCTTTAAATAACATCTTTGAGTAATTCTCTTCAGTTTCTCGTACTTTTTGATTCATTTCACTAGATTTAATTAAAAATTTAATTAAATAATATGAATTTACAAAATAAAAGCTAATAAATATTTTAATAAATACCTTTCAAAAACTTTATCATTAAATGTATATGGTTTTCCTTGTCTAAAGATATCTTTTGAAGCTAACACTTCTTTAACCCATTCAATAAATGTATATAATCTAAGAATTCCGGCATCAGCTGTACTTTCTACAAAATTAGCATCTTCTATTGAATCGCCAGAATCAGCCAGACACAGTCGCATGCCATCTGCTGAAAATTTTTCTACGGCTTCAGCAAGTGTTAGAAAATTACCTTCTGATTTAGACATCTAATCAAACCATATATGTAATTTATAATTTTTTGTCAATACTTATAAGATATTTAATTAAATTATAAAATTATATTTTTTACCTTTGATGAATTTAAAAGTAAATGTCCATTTACTCTTATTCCTTTTGGCCACAATTCAGGTTGCTTAGACCAGATTGCAATATGATTATAAATAAAGAATGTTAAATGATTTTGTATTAGATCTTTCCCAGATACTCGTAAATCTACTGGATACCAATAATTAAATTCACGTCGCATATGATCTAATGCCTCTTTCTTTATTTTCGTTTTGGGAAACTTTATATCTTTAAAAAAAATATAATCCCATACTTCAGATGTCATTTCATCAGGCCTAAATATAGAATATTCTATATGTAGAATATTTTGCATTAATAAAAATAATTTAACTAATTTAATAAGAAATTAATTTTATAGTAAATAATTGCAAAATTAATAATTGTTTAAAATGGATTTTGAAATTTTACTTTATATTATAAGTATTTGGTTTATCGCCTTTAAACGTTCCTCCTTGCAATAAATGCGCTACAGTATAATAAGCCATATAAATTGTTGAATCTGAGAGTGATTCTATTAACCAATTTTCATCCCATGGTAATTTAGTACCTGGAATTTATATCTATAAAAATATATGATACAAAAATTGTTATATCTTTTATTTAATCATTATTTTACCAAGTCCATAAGTTCTTGAACATGCATATTCATGTAACCAATTAAGACAAGCCATAAAATTTTTTCTCACTTCATCATGAAAAGTATTAAGGTTGTTTAACGCTTCTATTGCTTCTCTTTTCCAAGTTTCTTCTCCATAGTCTAAATACCATTGATTACATAAGGCTACTACACACTCATCATTTGATCTTGAAATTATAGTTTTCTCAGGTTCATAATATATAACTGCTTTTCCCTCATTTATTAATTGCTTTTGAACATGCTTTTTAACATCTTGAACTTTGTTTCCTTTATATTGACCAACTAGTAAAACACCATCATAAAATCCTTTCAGATATGCCATTTCTTTAGCTTGTAATAATTTAACTTTATCATTTTGAGATTGAATTTTTAATTTGTCATATAAAGTTACTGCACATAAATTACCAAATTCTGGTACTTCAATAATAGGTATCTAATATATATAATTTTATTAATTTTATAATTTATTTTTATTATTATAAAAATAGATATTAAACTTACAGGATCATAAGAGAATATCATATCATCAGTTATATTATATTTTTCCCTGAGAGCTTGTTTTTTTTTTAAATCTGTTAAAGCTGCATAATCATCAGGGGAATCACTAGGTACAGAAGTAACAACTCCAGTACCTTTATCTTCTTTAATAGTTAACATTGGTAAAGTATAAATCACTTTGTAATTTGTAAGAGGTGCTTCTAATGGTAATCCTAATATTTCCTATTAATTTTATATTTATTATTTATATCTAATATGTAATATAAGCAATTTTTCTCATATAATAAAAAGAATATTACTTTTCCAATAAATTTTAATACAATTGGTATTTTTCCTTCTTCTTCAAAAAAATCTTGATATGCCATATTCCGAGCAGCTCTTTCTGTTGAAATATAAACATCTCCATTTGGCAATACATAAGCAATATAATTTATATCTGGATGAATCCAACAATTTGTTTGACCATACATAGTTTCTGGTCTTAAAGTAGCAGCAACTAAATAAACTGGTTTTCCAGAAAGAGATCTGTAAGAAAATATATGTTTGATATTTAAAGCAAATTTTGTAAATTATATAATACCTACTTCAAACTTGAAGGATAAGGTTCTTGTAATTTCATTTTAATTAATGTATATTCCTGTGGCCCCACACCTTCTCCAGATGATCTATCATGATCCATACAAGGTTGTCCATCTTTTGGTGAATAAATTGTATATCTTTTTCCATATTTTATTTTGTTTCTATTTTTTAAATGTTGAAATTGCCAACGTACAAATGAATCAAAAAATGGATTTGCATCAGTTGTAATAAATGTTCTACGCCAATCCACCTTGAATTAATTCCATATTTTCTTATATTCTTCAATTATTATACTATATATTATTTATTAATTAATTATTATATTATTATTTATTATTAATTATTATATATATTATAATTATTACATTATATCTATTAAAAAAAAATTATATGACTTACATGTAATCCAACTGATTTAATATCTTTTACACCAAGAGGAGGAAAATAATCTAACCAATATGAAGCATCAGCAAACTTTTTTATGTCTTCATTTTTTAAACCAAGCATTTGCATAATTTGCCATTGATATTTTGCATTAGCAGTTTTTGCAATTGCTTTACTCTAAAAAGTAATCATATCATTTAAAAAGTGACATATAAGAATATTTTATATAATAATTTTACCTTTGTTCCTTTGCTTTTATCTTTTATTACTATGTCATCTTTAATTTCTTCTTCAATTTTTTCTTCATTAGGAAATTGTGGTGGATAACCATATAATTCCATTTCTCTCTTTAATTTATCTGCACATGCTTTAATAGGCATACCAGTGCAATGAAAACCAAATGGGAAAAGAACTTTCTTTCCCAAAAGGCGATTGTATCGTATTGCAAACTATAAAATTATAAAATAAATTATAAAATTTCTTCAATTTGCATATATCTTTATTAAATTTATTTCATTAAATATTTCTGTGATATACTTACTTCACATTTTGATAATGAAAATGTATGACCAAGATGAAGTCTTCCATTCATATAAGGAAAAGGAAATGTTGCAAGAAATTTCTCATTAGAATTTTTCCTTGGTTCCAAAGGTGCATCTTCTTCATATATTTTTTTTTCTTCCCATATAGCTTGAACATCTTTTTCAATTTTTTGAAGATATTCTACTTTAAATGTCCCTTTTCTTTCTGTTGTCTATTAGAAAAAATTATAAACAACAAACAATCTTAAATATATGAAATAGTAATTTAGTAATATTAAAATATTTATTTTATTCTAGATTAAAATTTATATTATAAAAATTAATTTTATGATAAATGAATTTATAATAAATAATCATGATGATATATTTTTTCTAAAAAATTACATAACAATATTAATCTATAGAAAAAAAACTACTAGTTAAAGTAATTTCTATGTTAAAAAATATGCAAAAAAAAAAAAACATATTTGAATTTCTTACAGCTAATATTTTTGTACTATTACATAAATTATTTATGTTGATGATTTATTAATATTTAGATTTTGTTTGTCATAGAAACAATGAATAATTATAACATTTACCATTTTTTTTATATAACAGAATCCAAGTTAAGATTAAGTATTGAATACCACGTATTAAATACTTTTATACGAAATTAGTCAAACAAGTTCAGAAGTTTATAAATCATAGATGATGCAACACAACAGGAAAATATAAATTTTACTACTATCGCTCCCGATTATAACATTACATATATTATATATATTAAAATATATTATGTTTTGCGAAATTATTATTTTAGACATACATTGTAAAACCGAAAATGTAATGTATATATTTTTCGATCATTTTATAAATTTCATAATTTATGACATAAATTTGATTGATATCAATTTAGAAATATGATATTGATTTCAGCGTCCTCTGCTCATAATGGCTACATATAGCCAATGAAATAATTATTAAGATTCGTAAAAATCATGTTCAATGTAATTATAAAATATAAAATAAATTTAGTAATATAAAAAATGAAAAATATCTTTATTTATTTCTTCTATTTTATTACATTTATCACAACAATTATAATTTATTATAATTATTATTACAACAATTATATTTATTATTAATTACGTTTTTCTATTTTGAGTTGAATGACAATTTAAAAAAAAAATTAAATACTTAATGGATATATATTATATGATATATTTAATAATATTTTTAGACGATCATTTATTAAGAATAATTTGACCAAAATAAAATTAGAATGAATTATTATAAGAAAAATTTTATTAGCACATGTATATAATATAATAAAAAATGAAAAAAAAGAAGAAAATTTGAGATATATCAGCTGAAATATATTAGATTTTAGATGATAGTAAAAAAAAGCTTTTATTTTAAGAGGTAAATAATTTTTAAAATTAAATTAAGAATTTAAAAAACGATTAACTATTTAAAAACAATTAAAAATCAAAAAACATCATAGTAAGTTATAAAAACATAAGTATTTTAAAAATAAGTATATATAACGTTACAAATAATTTTTTTTTGTAATTTCTAGAAGAATTTCGCATATCACTTCCTATTATTATATTCTTCTAACATAATATCGAAATTTTTTTCCAAATTTAATATTATTCGATTTTATATTAAAGAAATATAATTGAATAAGAGGTAACGAAATTTTCAGAAATTCTTATCATATTATATATATTTATTTGTAAAATAATACTTATCTTTTATACACTTAGGCAATTATTATTTTTTTGGACAATTATTATTTTTAATCATTTTTTCAACAATTTTTTTAATTTTAAAAATATTTTTGTGCATATTTATCTCTTAAAATAGAAGCTTCGTTTTTAAAATAAGTCATTTTATTATTTCAATTGTACATGTCGATATTTTTTATAAAATTTTTTTTCAAAAAAATATTGCATCATGTAAGTCGAAAAATTATTATTCCTTATTTTTTTTATTTCTCCTATATCTGGTGTCTCCTATATGATCATATATTAAGAGCAAATAATGGATAAGATAAGAATTGACTGTTACCGCCATTTTTAAATATTATAGATAAAAGAAATAGACAAGAAAAGTATTGTGTAAGTTATAAGAATATTGAAATCAGCATTGTCTTCAGAATATTGCAAATGAAACATATAAAGAAAAAATAAAAAATAAAAAAAGGATAAAGATAGAATAAAAATTGACTATTAGCGTCATCTTTTTTATATTAAAGTTTATTAAAAAAATTTTTTATATTAAAAATATTTTTATATTATCTCTCCGGAATTATTTTCTAAAAGCAGTTAATAGATGACGCTAACAGTCAATTCTTGTTTTATTTCTATCTTTCTTATAATATTTTCTATCTTTTCTTTATATATTTCATTTGCAACATTCTAGAGATGATGCCGATTGTAATATTTTTATCTCTATTCTTTTCATATTCTTTCTTTTTCTTGTTTTGTGACATTTAGAGATAGCATTAATAGTCTATTATTACCTTTTTACTTTTTGTATCCTATCTCTATTCTTCTATTTATAAGTTTTGTTTAAATTTGTTCTTACTGTAAACTCAGACAAAATTGTTTTTTTTTTATATAATTTTTATAGATTTATTCTTATAAAGGTTTCAAAAAATATTATTTTTATTTTGTAAATTTCTATAAAGAGTATGATTTTTATTGTTATTTTATATTATGTGTTTGTATAAATATGTTTACATACGCGCAACTGGTTTTAAGCCTAGTATTGAAAAACATTTTTCCATTATAATAGCAGTAGCTTCGGTTAAAAGCATGCGACCAATATTTATATTTACTATTTCTCCAAGTTCATTTTTCTCAACACAATAACAATTATCATAAAATTCACTAAAAGCACATGAGATTTCATAACAATATTCGCATAATTGATGTAGATATAAATCTTTTGTAATTTTAATTAATACATCAGCAAATTTAATTAATACTTTTGCTAATTTCCATTCCTTTTCATGCTCCAATGATATTTGATTACTGTGTGCCAATTCTTGCAATTTATTTTGTGTAATATTGGCTGCTCTTGCAATAGAACGTATTCTTGTTAAAGCATATAATAAATATACAGCAGTATTGCCTTTATCTTCCAACATTTTATCAAAGGAAAATACATATTCGTGGTTTCTATTATGTGATAAATCTGCATATTTTATACATCCATAAGCAATAGATTCTTGTGCAATTTTTAATTCTTCTTCTGTGAGTACTTTATCGCGTTCTTTTTCTTTTAGTTTGTCCAATGCTCTCTTTAAACCTTAAATAAGAGATAAAAATTTTAAAAATATTAATTATGTAATATAATATTTAATGGTGCATAAAAAAATACCTTCGTCAAGTAATTCACTTAATTTTACTGTATCACCTGATCTTGTTTTAAATTTCTTTTTATCTTTACCAAGAACAACACCAAATCCAACATGATCTATTCTATGGTAACTTTTTATAATTCCTGCTCGCTCACCACAACTTTTTAGTATTTGAAAATGCTTAGCTTGACCAGCATCTGTTACGTATATTATCTATAAAAATAGAATAGTGAAAAATAAAAATAAAATATTTTATTAACATGCTAAGATATATATAAAAATACCCAATCTGCTTTTTCTTCTTCTATACGTTGTTTAAGAGCCGCCATATCTGATGTATCATAAGTAAAACCACCATCAGATTTGACAATGGTTAAAGGAATCTCACTATTACGTTTACCCCACATTATTTTTCGTCCTTCATCATTTTCTAATAGTCCTTTTGCTTCTAAATCTTTGACTATGATTTCCATATGTTTTTGATAAAAAGATTCTCCTCTTTCTATTAAATTAATATCTAGACGAATATATATCTTTTCGAATTCTATATTTAAAACATAGATATATTTTATACACTGAAATTAAAAATATTTTAACTAATTTTACAATATTAATTATTTTACCTTTTCTTGAAACATCACAAATTAATTGCCATGCTTTCGTCATTTCAGGATCGAATGCTTGTAATTTAACAACACAATTATAAGCACGTTTCTTAAATTCCTCGTCTTCGTCAAATCTTGACTTTGATTCTTTATAAAAGCTCTATAATTTTTATAACAATTTATTAGAATAATTGTTTGTAAATATAATATACTTATAAAAACGAATTATAAAACAAAAATATATTTAAAATTATTTAAAATTACTTGGAGATCTATAATAGGTGGAGATATAATTAAATAATCAGGAAATCTATCTTGAAGATGAGCTATCAACATTCCAAATTGTGTGCCCCAATCACCAACATGATTTATTCTTAATACATCATGTCCTAAAAATTCTAACAATCTTGCAATACTATCTCCAATTATAGTAGATCTTAGATGTCCAACATGCATTTCTTTGGCAATATTAGGACTTGAGAAATCTATAATCACTCTCTGTTTTTTTGTATAAGGTGGAAATACTTTCCCATTTTTCACTAAAGTAGTTAAAATTGTTTGTGTAAATTCTTTTTTTAAATAGATATTTATAAAACCTGCACCAGCAACTTCTAACTTAGAGACTAAGCTTGATTCTTCTATTTTTGACATAATATTATTTGCAACATCTCGTGGTTTTGTTTGAATTCCTATATAAATATAAATATATATGTATTTTAATAATATGTTCTCTAATAATATTAATATTATTTCTTACCATCATTATTAAGTTGTTTACAAAGTGGCATAGCACTGTTACATTGGTAATCTCCAAATTTTGGATTGGTACTAATTGATATAATTACTGGAGGTTCACAAACATTTGGATATGCAGTTGAAATTGCTTTCTCAAATAAATTATATAATGTATCATATATACTAACGGCATTATTCTCTGTTGCTTTTGCTTTGCTTTCTGATTTTGCTCGTTCAGTTTCAATAGTCTATATAAATTAAACAAAAATATAATTATTTTATTCATAATAATAAATATAATAATAAAAGTTATAAAATTATTTAGAGCTTTTAAGTGAGTTTAATTGTACAAACCCTTTTTAAAATAGCCACTCTATGTTTTAATTTTACATTTTCTTGTTCTAATTTTATATATTCATCTTCAGATATAGAATTTATTTTCGAATTGTTAGTGGTAATATTTTGTCGTAAAAATTCAATTTCTTTTTTTAAAAAAGCTATTTCTTCTTCCTGTAAAACATATGTGTAATAATGAATATTATAACCTATTATAAGGATTATTTGGCAATCTCAGATTATATTTTTATAAAAATGATAAATTTTTATAAAATAATAAATATAAATAAATAATATAATTTACCGCAGCAGCGGCTCTTTTATGGAAATTTTCTAGATTTATAGTAGACATCGTATTAAAGATTTACTTTCAATAAAAGGTTTACTTTTGTATAAAAATAATACACGTGGATCTTTCAAAAAATCTTATACTTTATATATTAGATGGAAAATATATTTATACGATATAGTAAATTATTAATAAATAATAAATTAAAATTATAAATAATATATAAAATCAAATTAAATAAAAAAAAAACATTTTAAAAATTTTATACCCATAATTTTATATACATATATAAATAAGTATATATATTTTCTAAACTAAATGTATTTCATTTAAATCAGCGCGCTTTTATTTGTAAATTGAAATATTTTTTTTTTATTTCATATTTATTCAATAAAATATACTAGATACAGTATCTTATACTATATCTAGTAAATATTATAATCAATATTCGTCAAATCATAATTAAAAATAAATGTATTTAAGTAATAATAATATAAATATTAATTTTTTTTTAGAAATAAATAAATGTAAATAAATTAAAAATAAGATTAACAGAATCATAAAAAAATATTATAAATTGTTTATATTAAGATAAATTATAAAGATAGTTATCTATAATTATAGAATTTGAAATAAAATTAATATTTTTTTATTAAATAATTAAAAGTAATTAAAGATAAATATAGGGAAAATAGTTTCTTTTTATATCAATTATTTATTTTCCATACAAATTATAAACATGTTTTTCAAATACTGTACATATACTGAATTCTATTATATTTTTTAAACCTCTAATTTAATGATATATCATTTCGTTCTTTATTTACTTGTTAAATCAACTACTTTGATCCTCGTTTCGTTTTATTTATGATAATATACAGGTAGATTCCATTCTTTCTGATCAATATTCCATTTAATCATTCTTATATTCAAGCTCAATTCTTTGATATGGCAGTTCCAGGATATGAAGAAATATAAATTGTAAATAGATACCAGTTTTTTTTAATTTTCATATATAGTTTAGCAATATGCTATAAGAAATATAGTCAATGTTTTCATAGAGAGGGTATTTTTATAAAGTTTAACAAATAATTTAAAAAATCTAATTAAACGAATTATTTAAAATTTTATTATTAAAAATTTGAATTGTTCATTAAGAAATTCTAATATTTCAATTATTGAGAAATTTATACTATTATTTTAATTTTAATTAAACAAATGGTTTTTATATATGAATCTCTATGAAAATATAGACAAAAATTTTAGTGTTTTTAATTTCGAAAATTTGATTTACAAATGACAATATTTGTTTTCGCCAAAGTATTTTATGTAATACACAAAATGTACTGGAACTTTTCTTTTGATGATCTTTATGTAAATATGTACAAAGTATTTAACAAATTTCGGTTTGTCATCAATCATATCATGTATTGTATACAGTGCGAATTCTTCCACTTTCTCCCTAATCTACTTCTGCGTTTGTATCTTTATGGATTTCAATTTTTTCTTTTCTGATATCATCAATATAGAGTGAGAGAGTGCTATTTTCTATCTTCACAGAAGACATAGATAAATATATATTTTCATAATCTTTCCTTATAAATGTAATTCGCTTACTTTAAAATCATTATTCGTTAATGTTAATAATATTAGTGTCGGTGCTCCTTTTTGCGATTTCAAACTCCTCCCATTTTTTTTTCTTCATGATTTTTCTTTAAAATAAAAATTCGCATAACCAAAAATATTTGAGTATTTTCTAAATATATTGCATAATTTCTTGCTTTTGTAATAACAATTTATCCCGGGCAGAATTAGAACCATTAGATATTTTTTTGATTAATTAATATTAAACAAAATAATTTTTATAGCGCATATATTTACTTTTATTGATTTAAATTGCAGAAAAATATTTTTTCTTTTTCTTGTTATCTACTTATATATTACTGATAAAAACAAGTAATTAAATTTTCTGATAATATCATATAAAATTATCTTAATGATTCCAATTCTACCTTAATATACACAATTTAGTAAAATTTAGTAAAATTACGATTTGTAGATATAATGTGTAAAAACGAAATTTATAATCAATTATAAAGAGAAAAAAAAAAAAAAAAAAAAAGAAAAAAAAAAGGTAACAATAAGTAAAAACTGTGAAAATTGTGAAAGCTGCCAGTTATTGAACGAAAGCCATATACATTATTATTTAAATATATAAGTTCCTTCGTTATTCAGTCAATCACTTAACGAATTTAATTCTCACCCCAAATAAAAAGCGACATATTTCTGACTAAAAGAGAGATCAAAATACATTGCCACTTGTTGCGTAAAAGTTAATTAAAGTAAAGAATAAAGTAAGTATTAATTATTTCCTTAAAGTATACATGATTCTTTCCTGTATTATCTTAACATTCACTGCTCCATATAGGCAAGTCCTGTTTCAGAACAGGCAATTGATCAGATTAAAGAATATATAAAAAGTTTTCTGTGCATTTACATGTATATAGTCTCTGCGAGAGATGTGACTAAATAAAATTAATCGCATAAGATTTTAATGGTCCTTTACTCTCTTACATAATTGTTATTGAAAAGTTATAAAACAGAATATCTATAATATGAAACTTTTCTGGTTCATACGTTGAAATGTTAAAATAAAATTAAGTACAAAACACATTGTCAAGCAAAGTTTTGTATGAACTCTTAAATATATGCTCAAATTTAGAGAGCTGTGATGAAGTTTATCACACTATTACGTAGTTGCTCTTTAAAAATGAAGAATCAAGCTCAAAGATTAGATTTATTTTATATTCTTCAACTTTAATTTTAATATTCTCCTAATAAAAATTTATTAAGATGATCATGTCACTAAGTTAAAGAAAAGTATCTCTATTTGATAGATGTTGTCCGTATCTAGCGCACGTAATTAATAAAATCTGATATATTTGTATCATAAATGTGTAATAGAAAGATAAAAACAAACAAAATATGCTAAGTAAGAAAAATCATTTACGTAAGAACTATAGAAAAAAGAAAGATCTTAGAGTACGAAATAAAATGATTATAAGAAATACAAACACATCCCTCTAATCTAAGTGTCGCTGCCTAAGAATGGGTGGATTTGCACGACTTTAAGTGCGTTTATTAAAAATTTGTCTCTTTTAAAAAGTACATAAAAATCTTTTTTTTCTTTTATCTGATCATTGAGAATTAAAAAGCTCTGCAGCGAAAATTCTTACTGTTAGTCATAATAGAATTAAGAAAAAACAAAACAAAAAAAAAAAAAAAAAAAAATGAAAAGAAAGAAAGAAAACTTTTCTATAAAAGAAAGCTTAAGATTTCGGTTGTAACGTTATTCTCAATCTTTTTCGGTTTGGATAATTAAAAAAAAAAAAAAAAATTATAATGATAATATAATTAAGGAAACTTAAGAAATCATAATGGCATTACCTCTCTATTCAACTTCCATTTCGTTTAAAACTTAGAAATCACTTAGATAACTTTATACACGATCATTTATAACAATGTAAATCGTAATCATTGCATTAATATTTAACATATATATTCTTATATGTAATATATGTATATCTGTGTGTGGATGTCTTGTCTGATCTATTTCCTAATTTAATAATAAAACTATAATACTAAATTATGTTGGTACCACGCCTTTCCGAGATCAGAGTCTGTTTCTCATCTTACATTTTTTTTTTTGTTTTTATATATATATACTTTTATTCTTTGTTTGGTACATACACTATATCTCCGACACTCATTTTTTTCCAAATTTATTGTCGTCAATTTTAACTTAACTTTTATTATATCTCTTTTATTAAAACCCCGACGAATTCGATCGTTTGCAAGCAAATGACAGAATATTCATAAAATATATATACGATTATATCTGTTTCTCAATATAAAATTTACAATTTCGTCATCTGGAATGCGCTTCCTGCAGAAACCATAAGCAGGAAATTCTTTCCACGATACGTTAAAACACGCGTACCAATTATTTTTTTTTTATTACAACTTTTCTCAATTTTGAATCAAACTCAAGCTCGGGCTGGCCAGTACTTCTAATGTGTAAAGGTGTACATATGTTTGTGTATGTATGTGTGTATAACGTATTCACGTATTTGTGTTCCAAATTCTCTTTAAGGAGTTTCACAGAAAATGTTCGAAAATACAGAACAAAAAAAGATCTAATTAAAAATTATAATTCAATTAAAAATCACGTATAAATCTCAAATTTGTAAATAAAAATATATTTATATAATAATCAAATCTCTCAATAGTTAAATATTTTCTATCATTAAAATAAACATTGAATGTTTAAAAAACACATGACTCTATGTATTATTTTTTCTTTTTTTTCTTTTAATAACAGAACATTTTCAATGGAACCTTTATTACACATAGATGCAAAATGTATCTATGTATAGTAGATAGCGTGTTTACAATTATGTATTAACGCTTAACCCCATGAAGCTAAAAAAGATATTCAAGATTATTAATCGTTTATAATCGATTAAAAAAAGAAAAAAAAGGAAAGAGAAAAATTAAAAAAAAAAAAGATATTTACATTTACATATTTCATATACAAATCAATTAAAATCAAATTTTGTTAATCATTTAATATGTGATATAAATATCATATTTATTCTACATGTAAATACTATATTTATGTTCTTGGTTAAGGATAAGAAGAATCTACAAAATAATATAAAAATGTGATATCACAATGATATAATTATAATGCTTCAAAGGGTTAACATTTTTGTGTGTAAATGTGTATATGCGCGTATGGATGATTTTTTTTTATGTGATGGTAGGCACTGATGGGGGGTGGATGGCTGCATGGCGAGCAGGTTCAAGCAGGCTAGTCCTTGATCAATCTGTATATGTGATGTTGTGCACCGTGCTCGGACGTCGACACTTCAAACACGTATGCTGTACATAACAATGTTTCCTGCGTATCCCTGTTCGTTACAACCTGCAATTGAAAGAAAAGAGATAATTATAAATATTAAAATAATTTATAAAAATATTTAAACAATTAAAATTAAAATAAAAAATTGAACGATCTTATTTAGATTATTAAAGATTTTTTAAAAGTAAAAAGTTTCAAGTTAAAATTTAAAATTATATGTATAAATACCAGGAAATATACGAAATTCGTTTTATTTTCAAATTTCCATTAATTCACGATACATATTATAATTTTCACATATAATTTTCATAATTTTATTTATATATAAACGCAACAACATAAATTTATATTTTCAAATAATTATCATTGTTCTTTTTTAATAATTACTCGTGTATAATGTTTATTTAATGTATATATAATGTTTTATAATATTTTATAATTTTATAATATTTTATTCCTTAGATAGTGAAAATGATTACATTTGTTACAATAAGTTATTTTATACAATTATTCTAGTTATACATTGAATATAGCATGATTTATTTATAACAATAGAAATAACAATAGTATCTTAGATCTTAATTTTATGTGATTAAGCAATTATGTAAATGCTAAATTGAAATTACTATTAGTTTTAAATATTTTATATAAAAGAAAAATTATTCTAAAAAGAATGTCATACCTGAAGAATAGTGAAATTCTCGAGAACGCTGTTCATCATGTACTTTTCTGGCAGGTGCTTCAATTTATGTATGAAGTTGATCATATATTCGCACATAGGCGAACGACTAATACGATAGACGAACCTGCCATTTTCGAACCTAGCGTATTCTGTCTCCACTTTTTCCACCACCTGTTTCCCGAAGGAGCAGACTTTGGTCGAACATGTTATCGTCATGTTCTCGTTGCTCTCGTACCTATGAAACACAATTTTGTTAATAATTTCTTTTGGAAATATTAATTTAAAAATTTATAATATATTAATTAATTAAAAATTAAAAAAACTATAAAAGTGATATATCACGATAACTATTACTTACTGGCTTGTTACGCCGTAAAAAGCTCCAGCTTCGTCCTGAATGTTCGTATTGAGATCAGCCCAAAATTTAACGAGGAAAAAAGCTACCTGTGGTCCCTTGTCGTAAAGTTCCTTCAGGCCGCCCTTTTTTTCTGGGAATTTATCGTATATCTGCCTGACATCAACAGCCTCTAGCAATGGATCTGCATAAGTCGCGGACCCTCCTATGTGGACGAACAGGTGCTTGTGATACTGCAAAAAAAAAAAACGGAAAAAAAAAATTCTAATGTTTGCCGGGGTAAAATTGCGACTTTTGGTCGGCAATGCTTTTGTCCCCTGATTTTTTCATCATTTTTTTTTCTTTCCATAATATAACCGTATCTCTATATATTTAAAATTTATTATTTATAAATTAAAATTGTTAATATTATATCAAAAGATATCATTGAATTATAAATAAATTTATTCCATTTTTAGATAATTTATACATATTTGTAACAAGAGAATTTAAGTGACACATTATTTTTTATATTATTTTTCTTTTTATACAACAGTTAAAGATTATATTTCAATATTTATAACAGAATTAACAAATTTTTGTTATAAACATAAGCTCAAATCATAATAGTTATGACACTTTAATAATTTCAAAACGAATATTTTAAATCTTATCAAAGATAAAATAAGAAATATAATAGCGAAATTTAATAATATTTCTGTACTTTCATACACTTAATTAATAATTTTAATTCTATTAATATATATAATTATTAATTTTGAATTCTTATGTACTTGTAAATTAAGAATCATTCCAAAAAATAATTTATTGCAAATCAAAAGATTATAGCCATCTATATTGTTCAAATCAATAACTTGATCGGTATCTAAAAAAATTGTTTGAAATTTTATTTGAATCATCGTGTACATCGAATTTGATTCTATCACTAACAATCAAACTGTTCGCCACCATTTTATTTCGCACTTACAATATCCTGATCTCTCTGGTGTTCCATGTAGGCCGAGAACTCGACAAGCCTGAGCTTGTGAGTTGCGATGGCACGTCCTTCCCAGGGCGGGGGTGGTTGAGCCTGGACCATGTCACCGCTTGAAACCGCTGTCGCTGGTTTTCCGGTGTACGCCGGTTGCGAAAACGGTTTGACATCCTGGGACGTTCCTGGCTGCAAACCCGGTTGCCAGAATTGCTGAAAAGTCGATATCTCGTTTTTTTTTCTTTGTTACAAGTTTGTCAAGCGTTTTGCCGTTCGAACGGGATCGTTTTCAAAAGTTTGTATATAATATCGGTAGAATGTTTATGCGTTTAATAAAAATTTAAAGGAAAAAATGCGAAGAATATTATAGTGAAGTAAAATAACGTGTACAATTTGATTCTTTTTTTTTTTAAACTTTTTTAATGATTTTTTTGATTCCGATAAATTGAAATATTTCTCTCATTGAAATATTTATAGGTTAGAATGTTTGTTTTTTTTCCAAGCCATGGTATTTATGTAATGAATACAGAGAATAATTATTAAATAATTTTATAATTCGTTTTTTAAATATAAATTTTTTCTTCTTTTCAGGTTATCGATTTATAAATAAGAAACGAAAATATCAAAATTAAGTATGATATTATACAAATACGTTTCGTGTATTTCAGGAATTATTTTAGTCAAATGAAAACGAATTGGAATAGCTTTGAACATAGTTACTAGCTAAACTTGAAGAAAAAACTTATCTCTTCCGATTTATATTTATTTTCAACCTACGACAATTTTATTTGATATATTTTATTTAACATTCAATTCTTTATTAATATTAATATTCAATATCATTATCATATTAAAAAAATTCAGAAAAAAATATGATTTATTTTATATAATTCGAACATGTTAAATAACTCATTTCATAAACAAACAAATTCGAAGTAGATATCAGAAAGAGATATTATTTTTTTCATCGTAAGCCATCGAGCCCTCGGGTGAGGAACAATCGTGACGTTTGAGGTTAAGTTGGAGGAAAGTTACACAAAGTACACAAAAAACGAACAAAAAAGAATTAACATGAATATTAAATACACAATTAAATAAAAAAAAATTATAAAAAAAGAAGAAAGAAACGTACAAACACAACAGCAAAGGAAAATAATAGTAGTTGTATTACGTGAAGAGAGAAAGACAGTTTGGTAAGCCACAACGACGCCTAACAACGTGTAATTAATGTCCAAAAATTCCAATTTTATACAATATGCAAACCCGTGTATGTATGTGTGTATATATGCCCAGGTGATATACATATGTAAAAAAGATAGAGCGACGGACAAATTGAACAATACACAACAAGGGCCCCCAGGGGCGTAGCAGCAGAGAGCAAGGGGGTATCGTTTTTTTTTATGAGGATGGTTAGTTTTCATCGCGTAAGCTTCCATGATCAAGAGAGTGTTAAAGAGAAACAAAGATATAAACAAAAAAAAAAAGAAAAAATGAAAGAAAAACAAGAAATATAATAAAAAAAAAAAAAATCAAGGTTCTAATTTGGTTTTAGAAATAATTTTCTTCTAACCTATTTCTCTTTTTTCTCTGGATAATCGTAAACAGCACAACGCGAACAAAAAGCTGGTTAATAGATCAGATACAGAATAAAAAAAACAGAATAGAAATTGTATATGTGTATTTTGCATATGTGCAATAATAAAAAAAAAAAAAAAATGAGAGAAATGGATTTCTTGCATCTTATTTTAATATTAAAAATTTTGAACATCGTCCAATTTCCGATTTCAATAATATTTTCCGTAATCAATAATATTTTCCGGTAAATGAAATTTTGAATTCGAAGTGTAAATCGATGTGTAAAGCGAATATTTCAAATAATAATTCAACTTGATTAAAAAATTTTTTTAATTTATGGAAATAATTAATGAGAAAAGAATAGATGATGATGGAATAAATTATTATATAATAAAATGGACAATCTTATTCAAATTTATATTTAAAAAAATAAAATAATAATAAAATTTTGCAATAATTTTTGTATTATTTAATAATGAAAAACAATGTATATAAACTATCTATAATATAAAAATAATAAACGAAAATTTTCTTTCTTTAATTGTGTATGTATATGTTATTCATATGTGATATTTTGCAAAAGCATGAAAGAACTCGTGACACGAGCAAGAACATTTTAGGATAGTTAAGACAAAACCACACGATTATGATCGGCCTCAAGCGGATTAAAGACGGTTATAAAGGGCGAAGCGGTTAGAGTGAAAAGAAAACAGATATGAACGTTAAATAAGAAGCCAAACTGACAGTGTATAAATAGGAATTAAATTTCATATCCTCAAGACGACGAGACACCGATCGTTCGTCAAGCGAAAAAATATAAATAAAAATGCGATTACTAGGGATAACAAGATATCACTAGTGTCGTCAACAATTAACTAATTCCTTACAAGCATATTTCGATATTACAACATTAACTGCATTTTTCTCAATTTACGTATTTATTTTTTTTATCATTTCTATTATTTTTTTTAAATAAAAAATTAATATCCGAGAGAATATTCTAATAAATTTTTATCAACATAATGAATCTGCCTGTAATAAAGATTAGGAATAAGTTTTCATTTCTTAAATCAATTCTCTATATTTACAATTTGAACTTCTCTTATTTTGAAAATCATAATTGACGTAACATAACAAAACTATGACAAGAAATAAAAAAAAAAAAAAAAATCATTGTTAATCGATTCGAATCTTTCTCTCTTTACGTATTGTGTCGAGTAAGCGTGTCTCGTCGTCTCACCCCAAAGCTCGTGGCTCCTTTTTATCATTTCTTTTTTTTTTTTTTTTTTTCTTTTATTATTTCGTCTATTTTCATAAAAAGAAAATTGGCCGCTTAAAAAGAGAGAACAAAAAAATTGTTTCAAGGGGTTCTCCGTGATCGGGACTTACCGCTCCGGGATAGGAGACAGGGGTGGAAGCATGAAGGGCAAGGGGCCCCACGAGGGCGGGGGGCATCTTGTTGTGTATCGCACTCCCAGCTGATACTATCTGGGCGCTCGACATGCTCGACATTGTCTGGAGCGCCTTCTCCTTGGCGGCATGATCCTAACAAATCGTCAAACCGATTACAACGCATTGTCGAGTGGCGGCGAAACGTCAATGATAATAATTGTTCTTGTTCTTTTATTTATTCATTTATATCATGTGGTGAATTGTATTCTATTAGTGTCATTGGACATCTCATTTTATTAATAGTAGTGATGATTTGTGATTGCGTGATTATATTTGATGAAGATGATATGTGATATATATATATATTTTTTTTTTGAAAAGACAGTCACAAGAAAAATGTGCGATTGACTTAATTAAACGATAGAGTAAGAGAGTTCTTTTGGGAGAGAAATACGATTAGAAGAAAATTTTTTCGATTTGTAATAATTCAATTATTTTTAAATTTTAAGATATGGATTTAAGTTTGTTTATTATTAATTTTTAACTGATAATTTTAATAGAAATTTCTATTATATTTTACTATATTCAATCCAAATTTACTTATTTTAATAAAAATAAAATATTAAATGCAATACAGAATATTGTTCTTTTGCACAAAATATTTTACATAATTAAATTTATTTAAAAATAAAAAAATCAAATATCACCAAAAAGATCGAATCATCTACGAAATAAAAATTGCAATTCATTGATGACAAAAATGAGATGCTTAAATCCATTCTGTATAAATCCATTTATAAAATCCATCTACAAAAAAAAAAAACTAAAAAAAGAGAAGAAACAAACATAACACAAAATGCTTCAGTATTAAATAAATAACATCAAACAAACTACACACCATATTAAGAAAAAAATTCAAAGATAGATAAAAAAAAAAAAAAATCATTCCATATTTTTCCGTATATTGCCAAATCGAGTCGCGTATCGTCGTGAAATTAAATCGATGAACGATTTCTCCCCCGATGGCTTGCATAATTTCGTTCTCTCCGCCGAATTTCCCACCCCCTCGCGTTTCTGTCGCTGTTTTATGCCCGGTTCGGTTGATGTCATCGATCGCTATCGAGCAAAACGGCAATGCAGAGTTGATTGCAGAAACAAGGCTGGGTTTGGGTCGCGAAATTCGCGGGAATTTTGCGCTTTTATCGGAAAGCCGTCGTTTTAATCAGCGCCACCTCTCCCCTCCCCCTCCCTCGCAGCAAACGGCTGTCGAAAATCGCTGACGAAGCGAGAGAGAAAGAGAGATTCGTTCACGTGATATATCCACAGGAAAATTGGCGTGTACCGAGCCTCTCCCTACCCCCTCCACCGCAACTCGAGCGCCCTCTGCGCCCCGCTACGGCTACAGGCCTTTTCAATTTCGTTCATAAATCCGTAATGGAAGAGCCATTACAAGCTCTGCCCATTCGGAATGAAGCGTGCCGCGTAACAATGCTCAGCGATAAAGGCTTTCTCTCTCTCCGGTGACCGTGCCGAACTGAAAAATTGTGAACTTTTGCCTGTTGGGTTTGGCTTTGTGTACTCTCTCTTCTTCCATATTTCTGTCTTTCTTGCTCTCTTTCTCTGTACTTTGTCAAGTTATGCGTTCTCTTTCGTTCTACTTTTTTTTTTTTTATTTTTTTGCTTTTTGCATGTACACCATTTTTGTAAAATTGGGTTTGAATTGTTCGAAATTGAATCGGCGATTCTTTTTATTATACACATACATATATCAGTTTATTCATTTATCAGTTTATATCAGTTTTCTAATGAATTTTTACTTGTTGTTGTATTTATTTGCAGTGTGATTTAAATATTTGGGCAGATATCTATGAAGCGAATGAAAAATAATGAAACTTTCTTTCTTAGATAATTATTTTTAAGTACAAAAAATTAGTTATTTTTTCGGATAATATTAATGTAATTTTTATTTGAAATACTAAATTTGAAAACGATATCGTGTTAAACTTTTGAATAAATCATTCGAATGCATAAGTGACATTTAATGCCATTTCACGGCACTCCTCTTCTATGCGAGCGTTCATGTTTCTAAGTACTTTTCACTACCGGTTTACAACGAAATAGTCTCTTTAAAATAACTATCTTCTTGATTCTCAAAAATTTACAAATCATCATTCCGATATTTTAATAAATTTTACTTTGTGTTATAATTCATGTGTATCGAAAACTTTACATATTTATATTAACTTAACTTTTTAGCAATACTTAAATATTATTTTGAATCAAATAAAGAATAAGAGAGAAAAAAAATCTCAATATTGCCTCTAATATTTTTTTTAAATAATAAATCTATTTATCATACACATTTTGCACAATCGAAAATTAAAAATTACAAAAATTTGTCTGGAAATAATAATCTCTATAATACAATACAAAAGAAAAAAAAAATTCGAATCATGGAACATAAAAATAATTTTTCGTAAAAAATACGAAATCATGTGTCGCGTATACATTTCTATTGGTACGTCCCGAATGGTAAATTCAGCATAAATAGAAAAGTATATTGGAGAATGCATATAGTGCACGAAATAAAAATTGACCGGTGCATATGAATGCTTCTATTTTTCACGTGGTATGATTTATTAGAAAGGAATGTGGACGAGGGAATTTTTCAAATTTAATAAAAAAAAAAGAGAGAGAGAAGGGCAGTGAAGGCAAAAAATAAAATAAAATAAAAAAAAAAAGGGATTCAGATAGAGAGATAACGATGAAAAACAAAAAAAAAAAAAAAAAAAAAAGAAAGAAAAGGAAAAAAAAAGTGATTATCGCGAAATCGGGCGCGCACTGCACGCGAAAAATCCATTTCATTCCGCGGGATCGTTGTTCACCGACGAATCTGCAGTGGAAAATCAATTCGGTTAATTGAGAGGGTGGCTACCCTCGTGCTATTTTTTTCTTTTTTTTTCATTTTTTTATTTTTTCATTTCATTCTTTCTCTATTTTTTCCACCCTCTTCCTTTTTTTTTNTTTTTTTTTTTTTTTTTTTTTTTGTTTTCAATTTTCGCCTCTCTGTCGGTCACGGTATCGCTCTGTCCCTGTCCACGGTAACCCCTCATCGCGCAAATACACGCGAGGAATGCAGGATTGGCTGGGTAACGGGCTGGACATGTTTATCGACATTCTGAAATGCCGTTCGCCCGTTTTTGGGTGTATCGTCAGTTATCGAGAGGGTAAAGAGCAAGAGAGAGAGAGAGAGAGAGAGAGAGAGAGAGAGAGAGAGAGAGAGAGAGAGAGAGAGGCCACGTTACACCGCAACAATCAATTACACTGTAACGCTCGATGTGGGATTATTCCGGGGATATAGATGGCGCGGCCTGATTCTCGGAAGAATGTGCAGTTTCGGGAAAAATTGATGCATTAACCATGGGTTTGTTAGATACAAAATATGTGGGAAATGTAAAACAGGTTGTTTTAACATTTAGAGTTTGATACGATTTAAATTGGCGTTTGGAAACTTGTTAAATTGTTGCTCACTGATTTGTTAATCTCTTTTTGTTTATTTTTGAAAATATTGTAAATAATATATTAAGTTTAATATATTAAGTTTATTAATAAATAATTATTTGATTTACAAAATTTTAAATATATTATATGCATTTTCTTGTGCAATTGAATTAAAGTTCTTAATACATATTTTGATTTTTAAGAGATTTATATAAATATATATCACTAGCTTTATATTTTGCACATTTTTTAACTCTGTTCATTATTATAAAGATATTAAAATATTTATTAATAATAATCATTATCATTTAATTTTTAATTTATTCAAGTTTTTTTAATATTATATAAATTTCATAATTAAATATACATATAAAATATTAATCTTTCTAACCTCAAATTTTCAGCAGTGCAAATCTTTTAGCATTCTTTTAGCAACGAAATAATTTCAAAAACTTCCGCTGCGATTAATAATCCATGAATTTCATACACTGATCCAACTGCAATACTATCTCAAACTCGTTCTATTCTCGATAATAAACGAACATTAAACCTCATTCAATATCCATTCATATTTCTCTACACTTAACTCTACAATTAACCTGGAATATGATCACCGGAAACTTGGGAGGGCGCGCGTTCCACGGAAGCCCGTGTTTCCCCATTGGTCGGAGAAAACTTTGATAAGAATACCATGGTGAATTTGCACAAAAAATTACAGTCGCAATACCGGTTCGCCGCGAATGGTCTTTAGCGGATGGCCGACCGTGTAGAAATTAAATAAGGCGCGACCACAGGAAACGTAAACACCGGTGCCTAAAAATTCTTTCCTCACGGAATAAATCGCGAAACGGGCTGGCATAAACAGGATCTCACGCCGTCGGCCGGTGTGCGCGCTCACACCCCGCGTGAAACGCGGAAACCAGAAAATTACGTCACACACCGGGTTGTCCTGCCACCGGCTGCTCCTCTGAATAATGCTCGCGGTATGCGGCCACTGCAGTAGCAGATGCAGTCCGCTTTGCAATTCCACCAACGACGTTTCGGTCTGTTTACACGCGTGCACATGATCCTTTGAAATTTTTTCGACAGATCGTTGTACTTTTTCCGTTTTAATTAATTACTTCGACATATTTTTTTTTTTTTTTGAAATTAAATTTCGTTTTAGTGTTCTGTTACTGTATCTATTATTTTATAAGGAAATAAAGAAAGAATTTGTAAATTCGTCAAACATGCATGTATATATTCTCAATTGGAACAACATTCAAAGTTGATATTCTTGAAAACGAGAAATTTTCACATTCGAATCATGAGCAAGTCAGTTACAACACACTGCGAGCTATTTTCTCTTTTATATAATTATATCTTCAAGAAATTTTGCAATTTTCCACTCTCTACAATTTTTTTTTTTTTTTTTTTTTTTTTCATAAATTTTCACCTCATTGTAAAAGCGAAAAAGTATATTAAACGAATTTTTTTCTAGTAGAATTAACCTCTTTTTTTGCACGGTCCCGTTGGCATGTTGAAATCGGAAATAAAGCCGGGCGCTTCAGCGACGCGCGTGCCATCTATACGTTAACGCTGATTAACTGCGTGAAACACGCTCGAATTGCTTAATTTACACGTTCGTTTTGTCTCCTTTTTATATTCGTGCGCTGACTATTGACCGTTTCCCTGTACAAACAATGCATCGTACACCGTTCTCTCTGTCTTCCTCCAACTATATATAGGAGGCGCCTCTCATCGTCGAATGGAAGCGGCGAACGCAGCGTGCTGTGATTTATTAACAGCCGCGCAATTGTTCCCAAATCGCTTTAATAATTCAGCTGTTGATTAAACGGGCCGGGTTCATTTTTACGCGTGATTTATTTCGCTACAAACTACTGTATGTCGCTCCTGATCGAACGAATTCTCTATTGACAATTAATTCCAGCGTAACCCGAATCGTTGACACGTGCAAAATTAAAAAAAAATAAAAAATAAAAAATAAAACATGAGAATGAGAGAGAAAAAAGAAAAGAGAGAAATAGAGATAAATGAATAGATGTGAAAAATTGAAAATATCGTATATTCCCCCTCGAATGGAAACGATGCTTTCGAAAATACGATATTATACTGTACATGTATATTATAATTTATAATATCTTTCAAAAGTATATGAACACTCGTTTATATTTTGATCGTAGTTAAAATGAATTTATTATTATTATTTTTTTTAATTAATTTTTTTATCATTACTATAAATAATGGAATATTGTCAACATTGTTGTCAAATTGATTCGTTTGAATATATCATTAATAATATATGACAAATGACAAATAGTATAGAATTAATTTTTTATTAATTTAACGTGTTCGAATACTTATGAGCGACAGTTGTATATATGGTGATAAATATTGTTTGATATTCTTAGCAGATTTGTTCAAGTATCTCGAATAAAGATATGCATGGAGAATGAAAATAAAAATAAAGGTGTAATATCAGCTAAGAAAAGCATACTGTTTACGAGCGGATATTCGTATACTCACCACTTTGAGTTTCGCTTGGATCTCGCGAAGTTTTCGCCTAGCAAGCACTTGTATGTGCGAAGAGACCTGCTTTCGCGTTCTCGTCTTGCCTGTTCTCAGTTTGATATAACGGGCAATCAGCTCGTTCCGACCTGGAACAGAGAAAGATACTTGGTTGAATAAATCAATCCTTGATTAACTGATCCATTCATAATGTTAGAAATACACATAATTTTATAAATAAAATTATAAATATTTAATACACATATTTAATTTTACAATTTATTTTTACAAAGAATATTTATTATTAGAAAAAATTATGAATCTATTATATTATTTATTTTATAATAATTATTCTATATTATTTATTTTAATAAAAATTCTCTATTTTAAAATATGCATACACTTTTTTTGTCGATCATTACGTATGTAATATAATTTCCTCTTTTTTTTTTTTTTTAATCTAATTTACAATCGCTTATGTACGTTGTAAGATATCTTCGTTATAATTTGCTTTTTAAACTCACATCATACACGAATTTAAAGAACCATCATAGTTGAACTTTCGTGAAAAAATAATTTTTATTAAAGTTTCGGAAAATAATTCAGATATTGCACATATTTCAAGATACGTAAATTTAAAAAAAAAAAAAAAAAAAAAAAAAGAGGAACATTAAGATCGACTAAAAAGATTCTTCGTTCAAGACGTAACACTTGCAACAACGAAAGTGAAAGACCAGACGTTGAAAACGTTGGTGAGTTTTCGCAGGCTCCGATGACTAAATAATCTGCACCATTTCAAGGTCTTGCTCTTCATTTTCGTAACGGTGCACGTGCTTCGCCCAAAATGTCCTAATAAATCTACACGGGTGTGTATCAAAACAAACGCGGAGCGTAAAGTAGCGAAACATCTTCTATGGACAATAATCGAAGTATGGGGGAATTTCAACATCCTCTAATAAAGTCTTTCTTGCTTGACAGGGAACAGATACGCTATCAGGTATAACAAATAAACTCTCGATACATGTGGAAATTGACCTCGAATGTTTCTTTAAATTTGAACTGAAAAATTGCTTTACGATGAGTCTGATGAATCAGATGTCTTTGAATATTTTATATATATATATTACAATTGATTTTTATTAGAAAGGATATTAATAAATAAAAATTTCATAAAGGATTAAAATTTATTATTTTCAAATTAATCATTAACTTAAAAACAAACGAAAGTTCAAAAGAGACAAAAGAGAATACTTATTTTACAATTCCGATAATAATTCAATGAGAGCGATTCTTTCACAAAATCTCGGCAACGAATCGAAATCATTGTACAAAAGGTGCACACGGGGCAGAAATTGTTTAATCACAGATTCGCGAACTGAAATCGTATTTTTTTCGCACGGCTCAATAAACCATGATAACATTATTGTACATTTCGAGAATGCGAAGAGGGAAAAAAAGCGCCACTCGATTCAATCGGCTTCGATTTCCATTATGAAAAATAGTGGAAAAAAACAAAAGAAAAAAAGAGAAAAGAAGAACGATCAACGCTGGCGCGATTCAATAAAAAAAAAAAAAGAAAAAAAAAAAAAAAGAGGAAAAATCGGTCGAACGTGCAAATAAAACGTCCGCTCATTGTCGACCCTTCCGTGTTTTCATCGGCCCTCGAAATCTGAATGCATCCCACACTCGAATTAATTCGAGTTCACAGTGCGTTTCATCCTCTTGAAATTCAACTGGATCAAGCTAGTTATTTTACAATAAAATTTTTTTCTTTCACTGATGTTCGTTTTTTCTTTGTATCAGACTGTTCTGCGTAGTATACAAATCGAATCTCGAAGAAAGAATTGAAATTAGTATCAATATAAATTATTATTATATTATTTGTTTCATTTAAGATAAAAATTTGCAAAAAAGAAAAAAAAATAGGAAAAAAATAAATAAATAAATCTACCTGCTTGATCAAACATTTCGTGTCCATTTACGAAGGGAAGAACATCCCATAAAGTTTCTTGCGAGTCGAAAGCTTTCGAAACGGTTGGACGATTGAAAAATGTCCGGGACCGATGCAATCTCAACGGGACAATCCGGCGGGAAATGACAAGCGATATTCGATCGTGAATGTAATCTAAGAGGTAGGAACAAAAATGAACGAACGAAAGAGATGAGAATAGGAAGAGAGGGGTTGGTACGGGTTGAGCGATGAATTGATTTCCAGCCGATTGAATCGAGTAAATGGCATAGCATGTGTGGCACCTTATCGTTGCTTAGATTTCACAGCCGTTAAGACTTTACGGCCGCGCCTGTAAAACCGGCGCCAGACGACATCAAACGTGTCGTAATTGAAATAACGTTTACTGTGTTGTAACCAGAACTATGCCACTTCGATGCACGATTGTTTGAAAAAAATCCTCGTTGTTTTGTCTGTGATTCTATAAAATCGAAAGAGCGAGAGTGTTGGTTGAACGAGATCATTTCCAACTTATTTTGCTTGCAATTTATATTTATTTATTTTATCATGGTTCAGTGTAATGACGTACACCTCTCTCGTCAAACATATATTGTTTACTATTCGGCACTGTTCGGCAATAATCGTGATCATATTCGAAGATGGCCACCAATTGGCTAACATTATTTAACTGCGCATGCGTAAATACTAAGAATAAAGAAAATGCAATTTGAGAATATTTAACCTATAATTAATCTAATATTTGTCTTGAAAAAAATAATCGCATTCATAAGAATAACAAAAAATTTACAATAATCATAAAGTAATATCTATTTAAAAATTTATCTAAATTATTTATGTAGAATACTTTTATCGAATTCCTCTATCCACGATTGAAAATTATAAAAACATTTTTACATGCTATATTTCGATAGTGCAATTTTAAATCATTTATTATACAATTTAAAATCAGATTTCATTTTAAAACTTATAATCCTTTACAGAAGTAATTGTTGCGAAGAAACTTATAATCTCTGAATTTCCTCGAATCGAAATATCAATCTTTCAAAGCATATAACTCTTCGCACTCTGAAAATTTGCCAAGATTCTTTCCTTTCATTGGCGATAAACACGCGGTAAATTCGAACATCCTCGAAGACGTTTCGGACAGAGGAAGGTTGGTGATGCTTCTTAGCAAAGGAGACGAAGAGAAAGCGGACAATGCGAGAGGGGGATAACGGGAGGGTGGCGTGGCGAAGGAGGAAGCAGAAGGGGAAGGTTACGGAGAACTCTGAAGCATCGGGAGGAAAATATTCGAGATTCCAGGCGAACCGCGTGATGACTCAATTTCGCAAAGACCGTTAAATGGCCCGCTATGAACCACGCGCGCCGCTACTGGTCGCGTTCCTTCTCTGTTTTTGAAGGCCGAACATTCTTCGAACGGGGGTTGGTCACGTCGGTTTGAATCTGCGTGGAAAATGCCGTTACAAAGAAGCTATTCTTGGTTCATTTGTTTTTTCCAATAGAATTGTTGTGTTCAAACGAAAGTTTCTATCATCATTTCGAGATTTTACTATTTTTAAATTGAAATTATGACGTGGAAATTGTTTCAAGTCCGTAAATTGGCTCAAATAACTAAGATGTTGGATTAAAAAATTATATCTATAAAAGTTACATTATCGTTTTAAAATATTATTATAAAATGTCACTATTTTGATTATTTTCGTATCGAAAAAGAATTGCAGTTAAGAGGTTAGAAAATATTCCAATATCTGAGTATATTCAAACAAAAATTAGTAAGAAAATTTAATATAAAAATCAATATTTTTATCTTCAAAGAGAAATAATCTTTCTGGAAAATCTATCGACAAGGATCAGATCGAAGATCGATTTCAGAACGTGGGCGAGATCAACAAGATAACGTTCAATAGACTGCCCATGAACGGTCCTAGTAGGGAAAGTTACGATTCAAGAGAGAAAGAGAAGAGAACAGAGAGAGGTGGATGCACGCCGCGACCAGCAATCAACGTAAATCACTTGGCTGATGCTCAATTTAACAAGAAGGGCCATTATGATCGCGAACTAGAAGTAACGAGCACAGAGAGAAACGCTATCTCTGTTGTTCCTCGGTCACCCTATCGGTAATTCTCGCAGAAATCCATCGGAAGCGATGCGCAAAGTACTTATGGTTTATCGCAAGAAAACTCGCTTAGGCTACGTAATATGTTTCTAGAAAAGATTTGAAAAGGAGAAACAAAAATTCATTGAAGGAATGAAAAAAAATTTCAATTCGATGTGAACATTGAAATGAATAAGTAAATAAACGGAACACTTGTTTGAAAGAATAATTGATTTGAGGTTAGGTGCTTACTATATACATTAAGTGTATAATTTCTCGATCTGTTTTTTGTTTTCCCATTGAAATATAATAACATTTGAAACTTGATATCCAAGTTATAAATTAAATACGAACTTAATTGCAAAAGAGGATGAATGTATACAAAAGACGTGGATAAAAAGCGAATGAAAAAACTTCGAATAGAGAGAAACGGAATTTTACTCATTCTCCATCTGTTCTCCACCAACGCATCGGTGGAAAATAGTCCTCGGTCGTATGTCTTGCAACGACCATGGTGTTAAGAGCATTAAATTCTCGAGAACAATCACAAGAACGCATCTTCGCGAAAAGGAGGTGGTATACACCTACGTAGATCGTCTGGTAACGACACGTGGACAAATTGAAACGAATGGACAACGAGTCTCGTAAGACTAGTGATTATAAGTTATCGAAATGGTTGTCTATATAATATATATATATAAAATTTAAAAGAGAAGACGAATCCTGTTAGTTTATTTAAATTAATTCTATCTTATAGCAATACAACATACATTATTGCACTAGAAAATTCAATAATCATTTTGACTCACCATTATGAACCATCATAACCTAGCTTATTTATCACGTATCTCGTTAGTTGCATTTCCAATCGATATTCACAATTTATAACTCACTCAAATATATCTTCTCAATAATTTCTCTTCAATAATACATCAAGTAAGGAAAAATTTACGAAATATTTTTTATTTATCACGACAAAGAATATGGAACGAGAAAAGAACGAACAATCTAGACGGACTAGATTTGCACTACTGCCGCCCTCTAGCCTCAAACATGTTGAACGACATTCAGAATTCCGTTATCCT